GGAGGACCCCTTGGAGGGTAGAGCCGAGGATTTTGTTCAGTATCTGTATGACAAAATCACTCAGATTCGGGAAGATCTGGACTCCGACTGGGTAGCCTCAGGGGGAGGGACTGGGGCAGGTCTTGAGAATGTTATCTGGGATGAGTTTGATCCTGTGACCCCTGAGGACGTGGACAGGATTCTGGGTAGACTGAACGCGACCACCTGTTTATTGGACCCGTGTCCCTCCTGGTTAGTGCTGGCTTCTCGGGAGGTGACACGAGGCTGGTTCCAGGGGATTATAAATGCTTCGTTGGGTGAGGGTGTCTTTCCTGCCGCCTTGAAAGAGGCGGTGGTGAGGCCTCTCCTCAAGAAGCCTTCCCTGGACCCGGCAATGTTGGTAAATTATCGTCCGGTCTCCAACCTTCGTTTTGTGGCGAAGGTTGTTGAGAGTGTGGTTGCGCAACAGCTCCCCCAGCACCTGGATGAAACGACGTATCTGGATCCGTTCCAGTCGGGCTTCAGGCCCGGGTACAGCACGGAAACGGCATTGGTCGCGTTGGTTGATGATCTCTGGAGGGCTCGGGACAGGGGGTGCTCCTCTGTCCTGGTCCTGTTAGATCTCTCAGCGGCTTTTGATACCATCGACCATGGTATCATGCTGCACCGGTTGGAAGAGTTGGGAGTGGGAGGCACTGTGTTGCGGTGGTTCTCCTCCTTTCTCTCTGACCGGTCGCAGTCTGTGTTGACAGGGGGACAGAGGTCGACCCCGAGGCCCCTCATATGTGGGGTGCCGCAAGGGTCGGTCCTCTCGCCTCTCCTGTTCAACATTTATGTGAAGCCGCTGGGCGAGATCATCCGTGGTTTCGGGGTGGAGTACCATCAGTACGCTGACGACACCCAGCTGTACATCTCCACCCTGGATCACCCCAACGATGCCCTTGAAGTGATGTCCCGGTGCCTGGAGGCCGTACGGATCTGGATGGGGAGGAACAGGCTCAGGCTCAACCCATCCAAGACCGAGTGGCTGTGGTTTCCGACGTCCCGATATAGGCAGTTGACGCCATCACTGACTATTGGGGGCGAATCATTGGCCCCCACGGAGAGGGTTCGCAACTTGGGCGTCCTCCTGGATTCACGGCTGTCTTTAGAAGAGCACTTGACGGCCGTGACCGGGAGGATTTTTCATCAGGTTCGCCTGATTCGCCAGTTGCGTCCCTTTCTGGATCGGGACTCGTTACGCACGGTCACTCATGCCCTCGTCACCTCCCGCCTGGACTATTGTAATGCTCTCTACATGGGGCTCCCCTTGAGGAGCACCCGGAGGCTCCAACTGGCGCAGAGTGTGGCTGCGCGGGTGGTAATGGGAGCGACGTGGCGCTCCCATGTGACACCTCTCCTGCGCGAGCTGCACTGGCTCCCGGTGGTCTTCCGGGTGCGCTTCAAGGTTTTGGTTACCACCTTTAAAGCGCTCCATGGCTTAGGACCTGGTTATCTACGGGACCGCCTACTACCACCAATAGCCTCCCACCGGCCAGTACGCTCTCATAGAGAGGGACTCCTCCGGGTGCCGTCAGCCAAACAATGCCGGCTGGCGACCCCTAGGGGGAGAGCCTTCTCTGTGGGGGCACCTACCGTCTGGAATGAGCTCCCCCTGGAGATACGGAGGATCCCGGATCTGCGCACCTTCCGCCGCGCTGTGAAGACCTTTTTATTCCAGCAGGCGGGCTTGGCCTAATCTCTTCCCTTTTAAATATGTAAATTTTAATCTGTTTTTAAATTATTGGGGTGTTTTAATCTGTCTGGGTCAAAATAATTTAATTTGATTTTATCTGGTTTTTAAATTTTTTATGTCTATGTTATTTTATTGTTTGGCTGTTCACCGCCCTGAGTCCTTCGGGAGTAGGGCGGTATACAAATCAAATAAATAAATAAATAAATAAATAAATAAATAAATAAATTTGGATCATCAGTAAAGGTACTGCAGTTATAAGTAAAATCAAAAGCTCATTCATCTCATTGCTTTTGCAATGATTTAATATATTAATGCTTGCTCTACAGATATAAATGCATCTAATAGTTATTAAATTTGAAAGTTTGGGGAAAATCCTTTGTATGATGTAGCTGTGGAGCATATTTAGAAAGAATATGATTCAATCTTCTAAACAAAATTATGAGGTAAAAAATTGATTTTCTAGCACTACCAATTTACATCTTATCTTTTATAAACTAAATGTCTAACCAGTCCATGTTGATGTGTTGGATGCTTATTAAATGCATACATAAATGGGAACAAAAGTAATATCCAGTAATCCGGTAATTATATCTGGTAATATCACACTATACTAACCAGAACATACAAAACTTTTGCTAGACCAATTCTCGAATACAGCTCATCTGTCTGGAACCCGCACTGCATATCAGACATTAATACAATCGAATGTGTCCAGAAATATTTCACAAGAAGATTCCTCCACTCCTCTGCTCGCAACAAAATACCTTATGCCACCAGACTTGAAATTCTGGGCCTAGAAAACTTAGAACTACGCTGTCTTCAGTATGACTTAAGCATAGCTCATAAAATTATCTGCTACAATGTCTTTCCTGACAATGACTACCATATTTTTTGGTGTATAAAACGCATCTTTTTACCCCCCAAAAGGGGGTGAAAATCTGGGTGCATCTTATACACCGAATGTAGCCCTACCCACCTGCTGGCCCCCATCCTTCGCCCATTTTCGGGCAGTTCCAGGCAGCAGGGATCTGGGTCGGGGCACAGCCTGAGGAACAACCCTCTTCGGGACGGTCGGGGGGGGAGGAATCTGCCCTGCAGCTTCGGAGAACAAGGCAGATGCCACGATTTGCGGCTGGTCACCCCTCTGGCCGCCCAGCAGGCAGCTTAGGGCAGGCAATGGCCGCAATGACTTCACTCCTTTGCAATGTGAGGAGCTGCCGCCTAAGCCCTCTGCGCCCAGAAGCCGAGCGAGCCGAATGAGAGCTCCTAAAGAAAAATGCCTCTCTTTTCCAGCCACCGCTGCCTGGATTCCCCAACGCAGCAATCAGAGCTGCGTTTCAGGCGGCGGGCGGCCAGTTCCCCTGCAATGGGCAGCGGGGAACTGGGAACCGTTTTGGATTTGGGGAGGGCATTGAAGCGCTGCCGCCTGAAAGTGCTTTTCTTCCCGTTGCACATTCCCAATGGGAATGTGCTCCTGGGCGCAGAGAGGCGGCAGCTCCTCACATTGCAGGGGAACTGGCCATCGACTGCCTGAAATACGGCTCTGATTGCTGCATTGGGGAATCCGGGCAGCAGTGGCTGGAAAGGAGGGGCGTTTTTCTTTAGGAGCTCTCGTTCGGCTCGCTCAGTTCCTGGCCGCAGAAGGCTTAGGCGGCAGCTCCTGACATTGCAGGGGAGAGAAGTCATTGTGGCCATTGCCTGCCCTAAGCTGCCTGGGTGGCCAGAGGGGTGACCAGCCACAAATCGTGGCACCCGCCTTGTTCCCCAAAGCTGCCAGGCAGATTCCCCCCAGACTGTTCCAAAATGCTGGTAGGAAGAGGTAGAATTCTTGTTTTCCTCCCCCAAAATTAAGGTGCATCTTATACTCAGGTGCATCTTATACACTGAAAAATATGGTACTTCAGCTTCAACCACAACAATACATGAGCACACAATAGATACAAACTTAAAGTGAACTGCTCCAAACTCAATTGCAGAAAATATGACTTTAGCAACAGAGTGGTCAATGCCTGGAATACACTACCTGACTCTGTGGTTTCATCCCCAAACCCCCAAAGTTTCAACCTAAGACTGTCTACTGTTGACCTCACCCCATTCCTAAGAGGTCTGTAAGGGCGTGCATAAGAGCATCAGCGTGCTTACCGTCCCTGTCGTAATGTTTCCTCTGTTTGTATCTATTTTATGTATTCAATTCATACTTATATATATTACCTAATATGTTCTTGACAAATAAATAAAATACATTTAAAAAATAAAAAAGATAGGCAGTCTGGAGAATCAGTTGGACAATTTTAGACTAAGTACCTTTATATAATTTTATTTTAATTTCCTACTCTTAGAGTTATATAAATCCATATTTTTCAGAAGTAGAATGTTCATTTTTTCACATCTAGTTGATAATTTATGAGTGAGCAAACTCAGGAAATTATAGTTATCTACCTATGGGCAAATACAAAGTGAAAATTGTTGTTATTTTAATCAACGCTATGTCAAAACACACCATGAAAAGTCAGTCAGTCTATATTTATTTTGGTCAATGACCAGCATAGATGCCCCGAAGTAACACACCAAACTTCTAAGTGATAGCTTTGTAGTTGTAAGAAACAGAGAGGGCCACATTAAATGATTTGTATAAGTCTGTGTATCATAATTATCAGGATGTCTGCCTTTTCAGCTTTGCCTGGGGCTGTGATTTCCAAATATTAATATTCATGTGCTACATTGATGCTAAAAGTGCAGGTAAGTTTCTGTGAATTCACATAGGCCTGTAATTAAACATGAATATTTACAGAAATAAATCTAATAATGAAAGCAACATTAGAAAAATATAATAAGCACACACACACACAACCCATTTAGACATGGTCAGAGGAAGTAGTAGCTCTGACTTCTCTTGAAAGCTAAATAGGATCAGACCTGATTATTATTTGAAATTGAGATCCCCGGAAAATTGCTGGACCATAGATTAGATTGGAAAGTTTATTTAAAAAAAAAAAATCCTAGAAGAGAGCAATTGCAAACATTTCCATAATATTATTCCCCAGGAACTGCGTTCAACTCAAGAGACATGGATTAATGTTTAGTGAGTGGAGTTTGAAATTGTACATGCTGGGTTTTTAAAAATATGTGTAAAATAACCAATGCTATTTTTTAACTCGAATGAACAGATCTTGTTAATCTAGGAATTTTTCACTTCTTTATAGCAATGTTTTTATATAGGATATGAATTCAATTAAAAATATAAAATGTACTCACTGACTATCCCTCCTGTTCTGTTTGTTTTTAGAATGGGTAAAAAGGTAAAAAAGGAAGTTGAGCCTCCTCCAAAGGATGTGGTAAGTTTATAAAGCAGTACTCATAAAAAATGTTTCACAATTACCATCTCCAGTTCTGCTCTTCTTTAGTCTTTTACTCCTACTTACTTCCCTTTGGTTTCTAAAAATATCATATAAACATAATCATATTCCTTCTACATGGTCTTTATGTTTAAAGAGCAGGGAGAAAATCATCCTGATTCATGAAGAATATTGTATTTTGTCTGTAAAGCAGGGCATCAAGTTGTGGAAGGCAAGTCTTCCATATTATTCTGTCTTTTAAAAGAAATAACTGTCCACAAAGTACTTCTTTTTCTGTTATCATAATCTATATTTTTACCATCCATTGCCCAGCTGCTGATTTACAGGAGGTGTGTTTTTTTTAATCTGTATTTTTTTCATTATAAATTTGATGCGTTCTAGAAGAGGATCTGTATAGATTTTGTAAGAATGTTGTGTTGGTAGCTTTGCTAAATTGCTAGGATTAATAGTAGAAGATATTGTTTCTTTGATGGGTCATTGGTGTTCTTTGAACCTGTTTGTTTTCTTGCAAACGTTCATTATGTCTGCAAGAAGCATCTACAAGAAAACAAGCAGGCTCACAGAGCACCCAAGGACCCCTCATTTCAACCCGGAGCTACAAATATTCTCCTTTATTGATACTGGCTCTTTATAAACCTTCCTTCTAGTATTCATTGAAAGAATGAGCAAGGTTTAAATATTCTCACTTCATCTGTAGAGATTTATTAGGGATTTCCTCACTTAGCTAATGCTTGGTCTGCAAGTTTATCTTGTATTGTGTCTTGCAATAAAAGGATTTTCCTGGTTTTTCTCCTTGAAGAATAGTAACTGGTAGTTCATCATTTTTGTCTGAACCATAGGCTAGCTGTTCAGTTCCACTCAGCTCTGTGTTTCATGGCCATATTTCAAACCCCAATGTGGCTTCATTGAACTATTAGTTGGCATCTAAGAAGAAAAAAAGAGTGAGGTGTGGATACAAAAGAAAAACAAAATCTTAAGTAGAGACGGAGTTTTACTCCAAATATGCCAGGCTTTTAATATTTCCCTACTCAAGAATTTCAGATGTTGTTGTCTTCCATTTTTAGATTTCCTTTGTTTTCCCATTGCTGTTGTGACATCACACAGAGGAGCATCACTGGGTCAATTCCTCCTCCCCAGTTACCTCAGAGTGGAACCAGCTGTTGAGGAAGGAATTGAACCAATGTAAAACACAGTGACTGATCCCTAGACTCAGAAAATACTTCCATTTAGGTTCTGACAAAGGTGATTCATGAGATTTTTTTTTCTTTTTACGACCCTATAGTCCCTTAATTTGAGGTAGAGTCAGGTCGACTGGGTGGAGCTGAGCATTTACAGGCCAGATAATCTTCCTGATGGCCATGTGGAGTTAGCAGCAGATATTTTTTTCTTTGGATCATAGAAGATGATCTGCCACTACTTAGGATTGAACTCTCAACCTTCCAAATCAGAGGCGAGCATTTTCATCACTAGGCCACCCCACTGCTCATAATTAGCAAAAATGAGTCATGCTATTATGAACCATAATCTATCATTCTGTTTCATTGTGGGTTGATTGATGTTTGTCAGATTCATACAGTGAGGAGAGAATGATCGGCTATTGCAGGTTCTTTCCTGTATACAAATAATCAGATTGACAGAAAGCATTGGAAACTTGAACAGTTGATTATTCTTATCTCCCTTCAATACCGGCATTACAAAGAAAGCTTACAAAGAAAAAGGAATTGCACAATTATAAATGCTTTCAACTATTTTAGTAATTAATATCTTACTACTGAATCTATAATATAGCTTATTTATCTTTTTTCTATAAGATGTATTCTATATTCTCTAAAATCCAGTTTCGCTGTATTTTCATAATTATTATATCCCAAATATATTTATTTATTGTTGGCCTCTATATTTTTTTTGTCTTCAATCCTATACATATCTAGTAAGAAGTGATTTGACGATTGCAATGTGCCTCGAGACCCAAATCAAAATCCATTCAGCTGTGAGACAAACTCAAGTTGTACATTAGTTGGGATCAAGATAAGTGCAATTACAGGCTAAATCACAATAAATATAGTCTCTGGATCATATAATAGGTCTACTATATTCTGTATCCGTCAGATCCAAACCTTGAGTTTTGTATCCAATTCTGGGCACATTGGATACAAATTGAAACAGGTGTAGAGAAAGGCACTGACGATAATTGAGGGACTGAAGCTAATTCTAGCAAGGACATAGCAAGAAAATTAGGGAGGTTTTGCCCTGAGATAAGACAACTGAAAGTATGTAACACAGAATTAGGTCAAATCCTATTTTCTGTTGTCCCATTGTACAGAATAATGGTCATAAATGCACAAAGGCAGTACTTCCTATCAGTAAGAGCGATTCAACAAAGGAGTCAACTACCAAAGGAGAGTGTGAGCTTTCCTTTCCTAGATATAGTTAAGCGATAGCTCCACAGCCATTTGTTGGGGTTGCTTAATTTGGATTTCTGCACTGAACAGGGGGTTGGACCTGGTGGCCTAAATAGCTCTTCAGCTCTATGACACTATGATTCACTTATGTAGCATATCTGAACTTTATATCATTAAAAAAAAGAAAAGAAAATTGTATAGCCTGTTCAGCCTATCCATCTGATTCCATTATTTCTTAAGTTGCCTTTGAGGCTATTATTACTGGTACAAATAGGAGTTTTCAAACGAAAACTTCTGAGAATTTCTGTCATCTCAGTTGTCATGCTTGATATCCTTTTCCCCACTTGATAGGAATGTTCTTTTTGAGTTGATCTGATCAGTGTGGTCCATGGATTCCACATGAAAGTGCACTGCAGGGTTTTGTAATACAATTGCATTTTTCCTGTACTATTTCTTTTCTTTTCTTCTTCAGACTTTTTGCATCCCTAGTAACCTGTTTTTAGTACACTGAGCAGGGCTCTTCACTGAATCATGTACAATGCTGTTATCTTTGGCTTTTCTGACCCTTTTATGTAGGATGCAGGGAATTACTTGAGTAAAATATATTACAGTGTATTTCAGTAAAAATTGTCTATGTACATCGTATTTCATAATTGAATTTTTTATGTTTGATCAAAACTGTAAGTGCTTTCTTGCTAGGTTTGTTGCCTATAGCCAGATCAGCAACAAATGTTGCTTCCTTTAAAAACTCATTGATCTCAAAATCTTAGAATTAATGTCACAGAGTCCATTTCATTGCTATCTCTTTTTCAGAATTACTGATTGATGTATATCATTACAATTTCCAAAACTCTATTATATGTGCTCACTGGATTTCCGATGAGTATGATAAAGAGGTTGTTTGCAGGAAATTTCTAAGCTAAATGCTGAATTAATGGAATTTGAATTCCTTTTTTCAAGTATAATTATTGTTCATCTCTTATTCATCCATATTTTAGAGGTAGGGTATCTGTGGCCAAGGCCAATCACATTTCAATAGCCCACTGCAAGCATGCATTTCAGACTTCTGTTTCCAAAATCACCTTGCATGGAGAATAAGGGAAAGGAAAATGGAACCTTCTTATAAGCCATTAAATTGCCATTAAAGTTATGAACAATTGAATCCTTCCTGTTAGATATTTTTATAAGTATAATATATATGTAAATATATTATTATATACTGTAATTTCAAAAGATATATTCAATGGTTGCCTTATATTTATCAGTAAATACCTATGGCTCTGAACTTTATAGCACGGACTTATATTAATATCCTTACTGTTTGATCTAGTTTGATCCTTTGTCAGTTGAAAGCAAAAAAGCTGCAACAGTGGTACTGATGCTCAGTTCCCCTGAAGAGGAAGTGCTATATAAAGGATGCGAAGCTCTGTATAAATTTGCATTAAAAGGTTTGTTCTTCTTTTATCATGTTCCACCTGTTTATTAATGAGTACTAAATACTTATATGAATCATTCCTATTCCTATTTAATATTTATGTGCCAGCACTATGCAAGACATTATATAGAGTTACATAGAGTAATATAAAACTGTAAGTTATGGGAGCTTCTGACATAAAAGCAACCTCTTCCAGATAAAGAACAGCAAGGAAAATCAAATCAGATTATTATGGTTGGTCGCATATTCAGCCAGATACTTAGACTGAATCTGGCATTTATATCCACCTATTGAAGGATCTGGGAGAGGTAGATGTTTGTTTGTTAGCTTATGTCCCACATTATTTTTATAAATAAAACATTTCTAATTGTGAACATAATTAGAACATATCTAATACTCCTTTCTCATTTTCCCCACAAAAATAACTCTGTGGGATGCATTGGGCTGAGAGAGAGTGACTGGCTCAAAGTCACCCAGCTGGCTTTCTTTCCTAAGGTGGGATTTATGGTTTCCCTATTTCTATCCTAGTGGCTTAACCACTAAACCAAATTGACCCTCTATATTGTTATTTGATGGTGTTAAAACTACCATTGCAAGATATAAGCTATTGCCAAGTAAAACCAAGTAAACCAAGTAAAAAATATTATAGTTTTTCATGCAGTCAGCTAGATGTTTAGACCATTTTTGTCCATCTATTGACTTAAAAAAGGGAGATGCTATTGAATAATGGTGTTAAACATATCATTGCATGGCATAAGCTTTCCAAGTAAAAAAGTGTCGTTTCCAATTGACTGATGATTTTTTGCACCCAAGTAACCTATTATTATTGGTATTATCTTTCCTTTCTTTTGCTCTGTTTCTTTTTGCAAATTTTTGCATTTTGCATTTTGTGATTTTCTCCAGTTCTTTCTATTCTGCTATCTCTAGGTACTGAATATCCACTCTCCAGACTATTTTGTCTTTTTTTATTGACAATTGTTAAAACTAGAGTGTTACATGGCAGATACTTGTCTGTTTGAATTTGAAAATCTCAGAGCACTTTAGCTTCTTCATTTTCTATTACTTTGTCTATTTTGTTTTTGCTTGCAGGCAAATGGTATTTCTTGCAGATATTTCAATGCACAATTGTTGCTACTTTGTCATGCTATTTGTTTGTAATTAAGTCTATGTAATCTTCTTGCAGCAACTAACTAGGTGGTCCACTGTTTCTTCAGTTTATTATTAATTACGATTATTCATGCATGTTATTATCACCTATGTGCCTTAGCTAGGTTACTGCTGGATCATTGCAGAGAAAAAAATGTGACCTTAACAGACACATATAACATTTTTCTGTTTCAGGGTAGTTCATCCTTTAATATTGGTATTTTTCTTCTTCTACAGTTACTACTATTTTTACAGTAAATCTTCATTTTAAGGGGTTTACTGGACAAACTGAGTTGCAGTGGACAGAATCTGTCTCTACTACCATTCTGTCCATGTATAAAATCCCATATGCATTTTACACTTACAGAAAATGCATAAAATATATAAAAGACTTGTATAAAATGTATTCAGGTTTAATAAGTTTTTTTGTTTTGTTTTTTGGACACTTTTCCCCATTGGTCTGTTAAATCAAAAGCTTACTGTGTTGTTATTATAATTGTTATTGGGGAAATTTGAAATTAAATGTAATTAACAATTGCTTTTTAGGTGAAGAAAACAAACTGACACTTCTTGAACTTGGAGCATTAGAACCTTTATTTAAATTAGTTACACATGAAGATCCCACTGTTCGCAGAAATGCTACCATGGTAGTCGGAATCATGGCATCTCATAGTAAGAGTTCCCTTTAGAAACATGGGCAGTGTTATGCATTGTGAAACCGTTAACACATATTAAACTGATGTAAACTATGAAATTGTTGTATGTCTAATGTTTCTGCTAAGCAACACTAAAAATAGTTAATTGAGTTTAACAAACTTAACTTTGAACTGTTCTATTATAATAATGGAATAACCTTTGTTCTGAAAAGAGAAAAAAAATGTAAAGAAGGTATATGGAGAGAACAAAAGTGTACAATACCTGAGGAATTTACTATCAAGTAAATTGAGTGTGCAACTTCTTCAGCATAAGCAGTCCTGGCCTTTAGGAGCCCTGTTACAAGCTTCATTCCAAGAAGTGGGCATAGCCAAGTGAGAAAGTAGGCAAGAGCAGGGTGAAATCTGAACTTTATTTGGGGTAAGCTTTAATTTAATTACAACTGAAAGTAATAAGTTGCTTATTTCCTTGTATTTATTAATGTTGTAAAAAGCTAGCAGCAATATTTGACAATCTGTCAAAATAATCAAGCTTCCAGGACATAAGTGGCACTAAGCTGCCATCAGGCAAAGATTTTGCTAATCAGGAATTTCTTCACCCCAAGTTGAGGTTTACCAGCACTGGATTTTACATGAGGTTATCACATTTATGTCCATGTACAAATATGTAGCAGAGGCAGGAGAACAGCAGGAAGTATACACATAGTGAGGACATACAAAAATGTTATGTTGGCTTTAAAATATGATTTGATGAAAAATATGGATTTTCAATACAATATATTGAATTTTTGACAAGTATTTTATAACTTGTGAAATTATTCCTGAAACTAAAGCACTGTAAGATTAAGAGTGTCATTATAAATAGGATGATATCTGCTGAACAAAAACTACATTGATTATTTTTAAATAAATGCATAATCCATTCAAATTGCTATTTAAAAGGGGCATCAGTAAATTTTGCCAAAATTAGTCATTGTCCTTCATTCTTTGATGAAATATGTCTCATGCTTGGCAAACAAAAGATACATAATTCAATTTTGGAAATTGTTTGCTTTTTAGTTTTACTGATTTCATGAAATACATTTTTTCCTGTCAATTGTAAATGAAACATAGTCTATTTCTGTTATTCTTCCAGACCAAGTCTTTAATATTGCATCTTCTCTACAGGATGAAACAATAGTATTATTTCTGCATTATTAGTCATAACAGCATACTGTATTCCTTCAATTAATAGAATATATTGCTTTATGTCCTTCATTATAGATGATGTGAAGAAATCACTACGGCAGCTTGATGTCACAAGTGCATTCATAGCTCGTCTGGCACCAGAAGGTAACTTGCAGCATCTCTTTGGTAAATTCTTGCTTATCTTATTTTCTGGGAAGGTGAAAAAATTCTAAGTAGCAGCTTCAGCCGTATGATTGATGCCCCTCTTATGCCACAACACACATTAAAAAACATAGAGCTTCAATCACATAGTCTCAGTCCTTCAAGATAGTCCAGACAAGAAGCACCAACCACCTATTGAATATACAACTAAAATTCTTGTGCTGTAACCTTTAACTGGGCAAAACAATGCATCATACGGCAATTATTTTTGAATCAAGATACTCAAATGGGCTAACCTACAGAATGCATCCAAAGCTAGGATCCGTAACTCCTGTGGGATTGAAATTCAGCAAATTTGTGGTCATTTCTATGTTACCACATTGTTGTGCCACTGACCAGATTTTCAGTAGATCAGTTTTGTATTAGCCCTCTGTGGGCCAGGTATATTGCCCACACTCCCAGCATCTGGAGATCAAGTAGATCAGTCCTGCCTTAAAGGCAGGGTGGACTAGTTCCACCACAGGCAATTTGGCAGGAAGTCAGAAGTTGCAACCACTCCCATTGGTTTTTTTTTTTTTTTTTTTTGCCCTTGGCCATTTTTTAAAAAGATTTTTGGATTTTTATTTTTAGAATATACATCAACATCAATACATGAACAGTGCAGCGTCTGGGTATCATTCATTTTGGGACAAATGTCAATTATAATATTAATGGTTATATTAATCAAATTTATGAAATCCTAGTATTAATATACATATTTGTTTTAAAGTAGTTATTCAATATTTCAATGTTCCATTTTAATGCCAATCACAATATTATTTGAGTTTACATAGTCCTGCCCTCTTTCAACCTCTAATCTTTCCCTCTAGATATTACTTTATATGAGAGTGTGTATTCTTATTTCTAATTCTATTCTAGTTTTTAATCAGGCCATCATTATATTAAATAAAAGAGAGGGAAAAAAATCCTTTCTATCCATCATCTCTTCTGTCCACTTTAATATTTAATTCTTATTCATTTTTTAGCTTGCCTCCCATACTCCTCTCTTGGATTCTTGTCTCCATCTAAATCTATACTTTCACTGTTCAGTCTAAACATTTCTCCCATCTTTATCCTTCTAAGCTGCCAGGCCTCCAAAGTATCTACCCAGGCCCCTATCTCCCTTTCAAAAGTATCTCCTGATTATCCAATTCTATTTTTAAATCTCTTAAAGTACTTTTCCCTTGGTTTATTTCATCAGTCATTATTATCTTAATAAAGCAAATAAAGCAATAATAAACTTCTCCTTCTCATCTTCTAGTTTTATTTGCTAATATGTCTGTTCTGTCTTTGGTTTTCATTCATTATCAGTTGCAGAGTGTTTTCTGTTTTCCCATTTATGCCCTGCATTAGGTTCTTTATCTCTCTGTAATTCTTTGTCAAAATGTCCTTAATGCTTTGGAACATCAATGCCATTTCTTTTGAAATTTCACTTATTCCCCCCGATGAAGCATCTTGTCTTATTTTAGTAAGTCCCACTCTTACAATAGTCCGAAAACAATATATTCAAGCCTAATGTTGCTCCTTAGAAAGTACAATGCTTGTAGTTCTTTCCAGGATTATTCAATCAGTTCCATTTAGATAGTCCAGGAAGCTTTCCAAAAATCAGAAGTCACTTAACTTTGCTTAAGAGTCTTCCTTATTCCCACAGTTGAGTCTCCAGTAATCATAAAGTAGATAATTATAGAACAGTAGGTATTACCACAGTCCTCCAAATGAGTATTGTTTATTTCTCTTATCAGAAACTTTCCCAGGCTTGTAGGGCTATGGTATATTTTTCATTCATCAGTAGGTGGCACCCTCAGTTTAGGTTTCAATGTAAAGTTATTTAATCCAATTTTAATTCAGTTTTTAGAAGCCAAGTCAATTATTCAAGTAGATAGTTCCAGCATTTTAAGATGCCTTTCCAAAACAATGCCTACCCAGTTTGAAAATCCAATTTTCTATGTTTTAAAAAAATCTTTAGCTCTTCTCCCATTAGTTCCTTTCTTTCGGGTCTAAAATTTTTCTCTGTATAATTGTTCACCGGTTTAACAAACAGTTCTAAGAGTCTGTTTTCCTGGATTTTCTCTCTTCCCCCCCCCCCCATTTTAAAGTTGGGGTCTAAATAAAAAAGGAATCTTCTCACCCAGCTCCAGACACTGTCCATCTACACCGCTCCTGCACTTTCTTTGTTGCCAGTGCTGCCCCAGTTTCACAGCAGCCATGATGGCTGCCTCTTCTTGTCTTTCCTCCTGTCTCACAAGGCGATTTCCACATACTCATGATCATGGCTTTACTTTTCAAGTTATTTTTTTATTTGTTTCTCAATTTCTGTTTCTGCAATTGAAAGACTATCAGAAGCTTACCTAAAATATAAAATCAACATAACTTACATGGTATAAGAGTCTATAAAAACAATTACCATTGTTTTTATAGCATAAATACAAAAATGAAAACAGAAACTTTCCGTTCCCATTTGGCACTGTATTTTTGTAGGATTGTAATCTTTTGGATAATTTAAAATAAATATATGCTCCCATTTATTTTTAAAATCTTGAAAATAATTATGGTCTGGTTTTAATTGATTATATCAACATTTTGTTACTGGATAATGTTTGATCATTGTCATTTTTAAATATTTTGTAGAAGATGTTGTCATCCATGAGTTTGCTAGCCTTTGTCTCGTACATATGTCAGTTGATTATAACAGTAAAGTACAAATATTTGAGCAAGGTGGACTAGAGCCTCTTATCCGACTGCTAGGAAGTCCTGATCCTGATGTTAAGAAGAATTGTGTGGAATGCATCTATAATCTAGTGCAGGTGATGATTTCCTTCCATTTTTCATTAGAATCTAATGTCTTCTTCTATAAATGAATCTGATATTAGATGCTGATTTGTGTTCAATCCACATTTTATTTACCCAACTTTTCCTGCCATCTTATTTTTAAATGCATCCTCCTCCTCATATCTCCTCATACTGACATGAGCTGGTTTGCTTGATGAATTCCCCCTGCCAGTTAACACAGCTGATGTCATTATTTTAATCCATTAGACTGTTGATCATAAGTAAGTTAGGAGGAAAATAAGAGGGCTTATAAGAAACATTGAGAAACATTCATGTTTTTGTTTCCCATCCTTGGTAAAATATGATTAATGCTATCACTATGCCCACAGATCTGAATTTGCTCACAAAAGTTTTACTGCTTTCAGCTGGCAAGAGCTGGATGTCAGATGTCTCTTGAATGAATTAGGGTGATTTACTAAATGGCAAGTCTCATTGATTCTGATTAAATTTGTTAATTAAATGTGTTTAGTATAGGTTGGAACATGCTCCATTTAAATACCTATAAAAGAAATAATTTCCAGTAGAAGAATGCATAAAACCTATTGTCTTTTCATTGTCTGGAATAATGTTTAAGTTCTATAAAAGGCTATAAAAATGTCCATTTATGACTATTTGGAATAAGAAGTATTATTTTTGCATTATTCTTGCCTAACGCATAATGATTTTGCACCTTTTAAACTCTTAGTAAATGATTTTGACAGCTTCTTTTCAGAAGGGGGGAAGGTTATTGTAATTGGTTACTTTCACAATCAGTGTTAATGTCACCATATGCTGGTTAGCAAAAGAATAGTAAATTGGTAGAAGAGCTCTTTTCAAAGTCTAATAGCCCAATCTACAATCCAGTGAAGCTGAAACAGTGGGACTTAAGTTACTTTAGCTCTCCTGATTTAAATGGTACCAAATTGGCTTAAATCCAAGTGCTCCAATTGAACAGGGTTGTGGACCAAGTTATAAGTGAATCAACTCTGTAATGAATTCAATTCACAGTTCAATCTTTTCTAGGGCACCAGAGCATGTCTTTATTCTGAATCACATTTTGCTGTTTCCATTCTTCGGCTATCTATCCTTATTGTAAGGTATATCAGGACAACTGCACCTGGTGCTTGTTTAAATTGATAAGTGAAATTGTAGAGAAAAATGCACAGAAAAAATGGCTTTTTAAAACTTATAGTTGTACGATACTAACCAGTAACTTTTACTATTTTAATGTTGCACAATCAGAAAAAGTTTAAAGTTTAGCAAGGCAGTTTAAAAACATTTAGCTAATTTAAAAAACAAGAAAATAGAGATATGAAAATACATACAAATATGAAATAGTCAAGCTGCATTTCTTTTATTCCTCTTGTGTCAATATCGTATATTAGAAATTTTCTCTGGTAAAGTTTATCATGGATGAAATATTTGTAAGCTAAACATTTCTGAGTTTTGTTCTGTATAATATATAATTTGTGACACATGGAACTCAATACTTGATCTGTTGAAGAAATGTCTTTAAACTGTATTTGAACTAACTTCAAATTTTGTAAAGGTCATAATTATATTGTGCTTTATATTGTTTTTTTCCCTAATCATATTATTTTTATTTGATATTTAAATATAGGATTTTCAAAGTCGTGCTGCAGTACGCGAATTAAATGTAATTCCTCCTTTGTTGGAACTTCTGAAGTCTGACTACCCAGTTATTCAGTTGTTAGCACTCAAAACTTTAGGTGCCATTACCATTGATAGAGAAACAAGAGTGATGCTAAGAGAAAATCAAGGATTAGATCATCTTTTCAAGATACTGGAAACTAAGGTATCCTTGAAGACATCAAAGATATGAATTTTAGTCAGTTAATCAATTCAAACTGGAGAAATTGCACATGAAAAAATGCAGTACTTAATATGAACGTTAGAAAACTTGTTCTCCTACACATGAAGAAATGACATGTGTCAACAAAATGACTTTTGTTAAAAGGGAAGTTTGGGGGGGGGGTGTTCTTGGTTAATTAAAGAAGACTTTTGAGTTCAATAAGATATTTTATTTGTTTAATCGATTAAAGTAATATTGTCAGCTAAACTAATTATAAATTGAATGAAATAGATATAAGCAGATTTTCTTCAGATAAAATGAGTGCTTTCTTATATGGAATAATGTTCTCTTGGCTTCTTCAGGCTAGAGAGGACCTCTAGAATGAACAGTGTTTGCATACCTCATTAGATCCATACATTTTGGATATCTTCTCAATCAGAGGATTGTTTAGCATAATACTTTATACAATTTTATTTGATTGATTTATATATTACACAAAATCACCATATAATTTATTTGTGAATGTATGAGATTCATTAGAATTATATAGGAATTTATCAGCAAACCATGATTTGACCTAATCGTATATGCAGATGTTAGTTTGTTTATTCATGTCAGAAGCATCACAATTAAAACAAGGTATAGTATATGATATAACATTTAAAATATAAAATACAAGATTAAAATATGCACAAATTAAACAGATCTTGGCCAGAAAACATTAATTGCAGGTGAAAGTTCATTCTCCAAGCTTGTGGGTTGGTTTCTGGACATTTTGTTACCAGGCTAGGTAACATCTTCAGTGGAGTTTAGGGGATGTCAGCGTTAGTGTTCTTCTGTTTATAAGGGCTTCAGGTATGGGTGTGTCAAGTGACAGTCTTGAGTCACTTGAGTCACACTTGAGTCAGGTGTGAGTCATCAGTGAGAGTCTTGTGATGGGTCTTGTGATAGGGAGGTTACATCAGATCAGGATCATTGGGAGGTGAACTGTTGGTGGGGAAAGTTGCATGGGTTGGTTGAGGGTCAGTGCTGTCTCTGGTTAGCTGTGCAGTTGATTTGGATTCTAAGGGGTTCGTAGGCTGGTTGTACGTCAATATGTCTGTTGATGAAATTGCTTGTGTAATGTGACAGGCTTTGATAAACCTATGAGTGTGGCGGGTAATAGCGTAACTGATGATTTTTTCTCCAATCGAACTGGTGTTGTTTGCTATCAGTGTGGGTAAGAGATTAAGGATTTGGGACTGTGGTGTTTGATGGCCAGCTAATGTTTGTAGATCCTGGTTTTTGATTGATGTGATGTTTGTCCCACATAAATTGGTTGCAATGGTTACAGTTGATTTTGTAGATTATATTGTTTTTTTCATCATTCTGTATCTTGTCTTTGGTTCTGGATAATTCCTGGTGGACTGTGGCTGTGGGTTTGTGGGCTATTGCTATTCCTAGAGGTTGGAGGATTCTGGCTGTCATTTCCAACACCCTTTTTGTGTATGGTAGGGTTAATTTTTGCATGATGATTGGCTGTGTGGTGTACAGTGGTTTGGTTGCTGTGTGTTGGAATATGAAGTTTTTTGGATACCCGTTACGGAGAAAGACTTCAAACAGCTTTTTTTCCAGCCCTCTGCTCCTGCAATCCACCTCTGGGGGTTCTCTTCTTCCTCGCTTCCTATTGACTGGGTGATTCTTTTTAACTGTCTCTCCGTGCTGTGGCCACGCCCACCTTCCCATGATGCACCAGTCTTTTCACTCAGTCGCTGACTGACTGGTGTGCATTTCTCTTCGTGCTCGGATTTTTTGGTCTATTTAGCAGTCTTGCGTTAGGTTTTTTATTTATTTTTCTTAGTATTTTTGTTTCTTCGGTGAGAGCCTCTGTCGGTGAGCTGCGGGCGAGAGTTACGTGCCTGGGGATACAGCCCGTCCTCCGCCCAGGAAACAATTTCTTTTGACAGCAGCTCGGGCTACCGGCCCTTCGGGGCGGTTCCCTCTCTTCTTTCTAGCCGCCGGTGTGGTGAGCGGGGGTTTGCGTTTGTCGCATTCCCTTCCCCACGCCAATTACTATTTACTTTTGAATTTGGCTCTCTTAGGGCGGCTCCGGAGTGCTCCGCAAGGTTTGCCCTGCGGCCTCTGAGGTATTCTGTCATTGCCCACTGCTGCGCTCTGATCGTCTGAATTTGAAGTTGCCGCTCGGGGTTTCAGCTGCCCCGCCAGCATCGGCGCCTTTTTTACAGCCTCTAGCGCCTTGGAGAGCGTCGGCTTCAAAGGTGGTGAGACTCGCTGACGTCCGTCCTTCGGGCGGCGTCTGGGGAAAGTTCTTCTTAGCCCGTTTGGACTGTTATTCAGCCGTCTGTACTGCCGCCAGACGTTTCACGGCCGCCATTTTGTGCCTTCCTTTTTTGGCGGCGAAAAGTAACGGGCGCCATTTTGTAACTTCCTTTTGGCGGCGGAAATTAACGGGCGCCATTTTGGGGCTGCATGGTAGTCCATTAAGGGCCGTTGTTGCTGACAGGCTCAAGGGGTCCAGCCGTCTGGCGTTTTGTGAATTAGCGGCTGGACGTTATCTGGTAATTTTTCCCTAAACGCCCTTTTCAGCCTTTGTCTCTCCTGTCAAGGATAGCTTGGCTGGGCTGGCTTTAGGCTACCCTCGCAGTTAGGGGTGCCTTGGTGTATATAGTTCAGTTCGTTCTTGTTTATATTAAAAAAAAAAGAAAGAAAGAAAAAAACAACAACAACAAAAAAGAAAGACAATAACTCTCATAAATATTATTTTTCAGTACCTTTTTCACTAGAACGACCTATATATTAAAAAATAATAATAATAATAATAATAATAAATAAATAAATATTTTTGAATTTTTCAATAATGGCGGATGCCTATTTTTCATCGGATGAGGAGCATGAGCCTAGCCCACCTAGGGTTCCGGCCAAACACAAGTCCAAATCTCACGGCAGGGTCGTATCTGCTTCTGAGGACTCCCGCCAGCCTAGATCTTCGGCTGCGGCGGATAAAGATGCGCAGCGACGCCACAGGGCTTTGGAGCGCCAATATGACAAGGCCAGACAGGCCACCTTGGCTTCAGTTTTTCCAATGGGCCAGGCTACAGCACCTTTGACTTCTTCACCCGGCAGAGCCCAGGCGCCTGATCCGCCACAACCAAGTCCTTCTGGACGCCTGTCCAAAGGAGCTTCAATCTCCTTACCTGATGTTTCTTCGGTGGGCTTGCTCCACCCTGCTCCCCCTCCTACTTCTCGTCCTGAGGCAACTTTTACACCAACCGCCGCTGGACTGCGCGGGACTGATGGGCAATTGTCGTCTTCCCAGATGGACTTGCAGTTGTTGCTGTCTAATGCCTTGTCCTCCCTGTGGGCCGCAGGAATTCAACATCCGCCCATGCCGCTGGCTCCGACGGTTCCTCATCAGAGGCCTCAGCCTCCTATGGCACCAACTCAGAGGCCCTCCCACCATTTGGCACCCGATTCTTCGGATGATTCTGATTATGGGGATAATGCGGTCGAGGACTTAGAATTTTCAGAGGATGAGGGCCTCACCCCGGATGTTCTTGCCTTTACGGGGCTGTTCAGGCCCTCATTGTTCAAATCTCTTTTACATAAGGCACGTCAGATCACAAACATGTCTGTTTCTTCGTCTACAACATCTGAGACCGCGTCCACGTCGACCCCACACGAGGCCTTGTTCTCATCTTCCAAACCGGGCAGAGACTTCATCCCCTGTCCTCAACTTTTTTCTGACGTGCTGCAAGCTCCTTGGTCTCAACCTGCTTCGTCCACGGGCCCCAATAGCATTGATAAAAAATTGTATTGTGCGGCACCAGAACTGGACGCCTTGCTGTCTGTACCTGTGGTGGACACTCCCATTGCCAACCTATCCTCCTCGTCCTTACTGTCAACGGATGCACTGGACGGATTGAAATCGGAGGACAGGAAGTCTGAGCTTTCCTTTCGTAAAGAACATCAAGCCCTGGCATGGGCAATCAAAACCGCGACCGCCACTTCTTTTTTCAACCGAGCGACGCTGCTTTGGCTGAGGCAACTCCAGGATAGGCTACCGCCAGAAGACACACGTCTCCACCAAGACATAAACAAAATTGTTGCAGCGACGGAATATTCGGCCGACGCTTCCTTGAATTCTGTGAAGTTTACGTCCAGGGCTTTGGCCTCGTCTATTACCTCCCGTCGTTTATTTTGGCTCAGGAACTGGAGGGCCGATGCCAAAGCTAAGTGGCGCTTGGCGGCAGCGCCCTTCAAGGCTCCGAATCTGTTCGGCTCCGCTCTTGATCCTGTTCTTATCGAGGATAAGGACAAGAGGAAGATTATGCTGACTTCCTCATATCGCAGGCCTGAGAGACGTTATACACCTTATTATCAAAGACAGTCTTTCGGGCGACTTCCGGGTCTGGAGGTGCCTATTCGCAACGTCCACAATTCTTTGGCTCCGACCTTTCCTCAGATCGCCAGCGGTTTCGTGACAGAACCAGGAACCCATCTGGTCCCAAGCGCCCCTTTCGAGGAGTCGGATACCGTCAATTCCGCAGGGGGAAATGACTGCGAGTCACAGGATCCCATTGGCGGTCGTCTGCAACTTTTCCACCATCAATGGGAGCAGTCGACCTCGGACTCTTGGATCCTTCATACGGTGTCTTCCGGCCTGTCGATCGAGTTCCTGGGATGTCCGCCTTCTCGACATATTTGCTGCCCTGTGCCACGTTCTCCCGAACAGGGCCGCTTGCTACAGGAACAAGTTTGCCATTTACTCAACATCAGAGCAATAGAGAGGGTCCCACCGGAGCAACAGGGTTTGGGATTCTATTCGACGCTCTTTCTCGTCCCGAAACATTCCGGGGGTTGTCGGGCCATCTTGAACTTGAAACAACTAAACCTTTTCATTTGCTATCGCAGATTCAAGATGCACTCCCTGGGGTCCATCTTGGGGGGGGTTCGTCGTGGCAACCTCCTTCAGTCGGTCGACCTCAGGGAGGCATATCTGCATGTCCCAGTGTCTCCCTCACACAGGAAGTTTCTGCGCTTTCAAATTGGGGACGATCATTATCAATATTGCGCAATGCCCTTTGGTTTATCCTCCGCCCCAAGAACCTTCACAAAATTAGTGGCTGTAGTGGCGGCGTCACTCCGAAAGATCCCGGTGCGGGTACTCTGTTACCTCGACGACATCCTGGTGTTGTCATCGTCCAGGAGTCAGGCAGCTCGAGACCTTCATCTTGTCATCATGGCCTTCCAGAATCACGGATTCTCCATAAATTTTCCCAAAAGTCACATTTACCCGTCCACATCACTGCTGCACTTGGGGGCGGTGATAGATTCTATTCGGGGCCAGGTTTTTCTATCGCCGGACAGGATCTCAAGTCTTCAAGACCTGATACGTCAAGTTCTGTCTCATCGCTCCGTCCCCCTTCTCCAGCTGTCACGACTACTGGGGAAGATGGTGTCGTGCTTCTCAATTGTTCCATGGGCACGACGTCACGCGAGGCCACTGCAATGGTTTCTGCTCCCTTACCAGCGCTCGGGACGCAGCGATTCCCTTCACAAAGTATACCTTCCACCCCAACTTCGGCTGTCATTTCGGTGGTGGATGGGATCAGCCGTGAGCAAGGGCTCGCACTTTCTGATTCAACACAGAATGACTCTAACTTCGGACGCCAGCCTTCGCGGCTGGGGAGCCCACCTTCAACATCAGGTGGTGCAGGGTCGTTGGTCCGTTCCAGAAAGAGGCCACAACATCAATCTGTTGGAACTCAGAGCAATCCGCCTGGCCCTCAAACATTTTCAATCCAGTTGGAGGGTCACCACGTCCTTGTGCTCACGGACAACATTGCAGCCAAGGCCCATGTAAACAAAGAAGGCGGGACTCATTCGAGGTCTCTGATGTTAGAAGCGGAGAGTCTATTCCGGTGGGCGGAACGCCACCTTCTTTCCTTGAGAGCCGATCACATCTCCGGCGTAGACAACGTGCGGGCAGACTGGCTAAGCAGACAAAGTCTCGATCACTCGGAATGGCAGCTGCATCCGAGGCTCTTTCAGGAAGCCACCCTTCTATTCGGCACGCCTGTCGTGGACTTGTTCGCCAGTCCGTCGAATGCTCAACTTCCACTATATGTGACTCGTTACCCTTGCCAGTCGGCAATGGATCACGACGCGCTGCGATGCCGCTGGCCCCAGGGGCTTTTGTACGCCTTTCCCCCAATTCCCTTGATTCCTCAGGTAATTCGGAGGCTCTTGGAGGAAAGGGCCGAATTGATCCTGGTGGCTCCCAACTGGCCTCATCGACAGTGGTACGCAGATCTTGTGGCCTTATCGTCTCGTCCACCATGGCTGATTCCACGAGACCGCATCGCCCTACGCCAAGGGGTCATCGACCACCCAGAGCCAGAATGGCTCCAATTGGCCGTTTGGCGTTTGAGCGGCTTATATTGTGAAAGGACCGACTGCCCGACTCCGTCATAAGTACGATTCAAGCTTCTCGTAGGCCGTCAACTTCACGGATATACGACTCTTCCTGGAGGGCTTTCTGTTGCTGGTGTGCGGCCAACCTGGTGGACCCTACTTCAGCCCAGATAGAGGACGTGCTGTGCTTTCTTCAATCCGGCTTAGACAAAGGGTTGTCACCATCTACCCTTCGTCGTCAGACGGCTGCATTATCTACGGTTATTCGGTGTCCCCCATACTCGTCTTTGTCTATGCATCCGTTACTTAAGGGATTTCTTCATGGAGCAGTAAACCTATGCCCACCTGTCGTTCATAGGTACCCGTCCTGGGACCTTTCCCTTGTCCTTCAGACCTTGATGTACCCTCCTTTTGAACCTTTGGGGTCTATTCCTTTAAAGTTTTTGTCTTTCAAGTTGACCTTTCTTTTGGCGATCACTTCGGCCAGACGGGTGTCTGAGCTTTCCGCCCTATCGATTAGGAAAGATCTCTGTATTTTTCAACCTAATACAGTAATACTACGTCTGGACCCAGCATTCTTACCTAAAGTGAACTCATATTTTCATTGGGCTCAGGAGCTTATCCTTCCGGATTTTTGCCCGTCGCCGAAACATCAACGCGAAAAAGACTGGCATACCCTTGATGTGCGTAGGGCTCTACGTCGTTATATTCGCAGGACTGAATCCATCCGTAAAACTGAGGCTCTTCTGGTGTCGTTTCATCCACCTTCCTTGGGCCAAAAGATCTCTTCATCCACAGTGGGCAGATGGATTAAGACATGCATAGCTACAGCTTACAAGCAACGTTCTCGTCCTGTACCGAGCCGCATCTTACCTCATTCTACTCGTAGTGCGGCAGCGTCGGCCGCCTGGGCTACGCAGGCTTCAGTTTCAGACATATGCCGGGCCGCTACTTGGTCTTCGGTGACACCCTTCATCAGACATTACCGAATTGATACGTATGCTTCGGCCGAAGCATCCTTTGGGCGACGTGTTCTCCAAAGTGTTCTTGAGGTCCAGGAGGCTGAGTCCAAGTAGTTTTTCCCGCCCTGGGATTTGAACTTTGGTATATCCCAGAGGTGGATTGCAGGAGCAGAGGGCTGGAAAACGAACGTTGTCTTACCTGAACGTTCCTTTTCAGCTCTCTGCGACTGCAATCCACACCCGCCCTGTTGATTTCTGATTTCTTGTGTTTTTACGGGTTCCAGAGTTTTGAAGTTTATATGGCTTGTTCTGAAATTTGATTTGCCTACTAGGTGGTCACGCCTTCGTTCAAAGACTGGTGCATCATGGGAAGGTGGGCGTGGCCACAGCACGGAGAGACAGTTAAAAAGAATCACCCAGTCAATAGGAAGCGAGGAAGAAGAGAACCCCCAGAGGTGGATTGCAGTCGCAGAGAGCTGAAAAGGAACGTTCAGGTAAGACAACGTTCGCTTCTCTTCCACTCTTCTTAGTATTGTGGTGCTGCAGTGTGTCCTGGCCCTTCTGAAGAGGGTCTGGACACAGCTTCTTTTGTGTGCAATAGGGTGGTTGTTTGCAAAGCTGAGTATCTGGTTCGTGTACATGGGTTTGCAGAAGACAATGGGTTTCAGTTCTCTGTTGTCTAGTCTCCTTATGTTGATGTTGAGAAATGGGAGTCTACTGTCTCTTTCTTCATCACGTGTGAATTTGATTCCAGGGAATATGTTATTGAGTAGGTGGTTTGTTTCTTCAATTTGGGAGCATTTGATGATGATGAAGGTATCATCCCCATAACGTGTCCAGAATTTTGGTTGAATGGTTGGTTAAAGCTATGGATTCAAGTTGTTGCATAACTACTTCTGCTTTTAGGCCTGATATGGGTGATCATAATGGGGTACCATGTATTAGATTTTCCCATTGAACTTGAAATATCTGTTGGCATAGATCCAGGAGTTTCATGATGTTTTCTTTGGACATGAAGTGTTCAGTAGTGGCATCATTTTTTTGGCTGTGGTGTTTAATGAGTAGGTGGTGTATGGTTTGTTTAGCCAGGTCGATGTCAATCTAGGTCCGTAATGGCAAACCTATGGCCACGCGAGCCATCACCCCAGTTCAGCTCTGATGTGCATATACGCATGCTTCCCGCCAGCCAGCTGGTCTTCAGATATTTGCCACACATGTGGGGGATGGGGCATGTGCGGGGGGCATGCATTTGCATGGGTGGAGCGCATGGGGGCAGGCTGCATGCTCAGGGGCTGCACACGCATTGCATTATGGGGGTTCTGGCACACACACACACATTCACGCACAAACACGCTTTGGGCACTTGGTGCAGAAAAGGTTAGTCATCACTGATCTGATGTCAAAGGATTTCTTCCTTGTTGATCTTGGTGTGTTGGATACATTGGAGAAACTGTTCTGGGCAGTGTATTGAGTGGGTTGAGTCATTGAACAGGTGTCTGAATTTCCTCTGCAGGATTTTGCTAGTTTGTAAATTGGTGTTCCAGGTAGAGACACAATTGGGCCTAAGGGAATCCCCTTCTTGTGTATTTTAGGGAGTCTGTAGAACCTTGTGGTTTCATGTGCCTTCTCTCTAGAGGTGTTAGCTGTTTTTCTTTTCCCATTTTTCTTAGGGTGTATTTTATTTTGTTCTCCAGCTAATTTCTTGGATTATTAATTGTCGGGCCACCATGAGGTTCTCAAGTGTACACTGGACAGGGCAGAAAGGGTTAGGGTTATTACTTGTTGTACCTTTTCAGTGATGGTTCTAATGTTAGGTGTCCATTTCAAGGCCTGGAAGATGATAGAACCCAAAAGCCTGAAGGATTCTACTGGTTCTACAGTGCTGTGAAATATAATGAGTGGTAGAAGGCCTTCTCCTAACATCCAGTTTTAAGCATGTTCAGTTCTATATTGTTCTGGCTGCAATAAAGTCATGAAAACAAGGTGACAAAGAAGGAAGTTGGACATATGGGGGAAGGGGGTTGGATTTTTATTAGTCAGCCACCTCCAGTATGGACCCATATCATGCAGGGATTGAAAGATGATTATCAACACTTTCGATTGCACCTGAAAGCAGACCGGCAATCAACGCAGCTTGCGGAGCAGTGGGGTAGCATGGACCACTCAAGGGCCCTAAGAACTGCCTGTGCCACCACACTCTGCACCAGCTATGCCTTCTGAACACATCAAATTTTGGGAGAACTTGTCAAAATGTTTTTCTGCAATTAAGGTGTCCTGTCACAGCATATTAATTTATGAGACCAGTGTTTTTATATACATAAATAATGACAGCTGCATTATGGGAATATGGCGTATCAAAATATATGGTCAGAAAACAGAAAATAGTTTTAAACACTCTTACAATGTTAATACCTGCCTCTTTTTAACTTATAGGAATTTAATGATCTACATGTAGAAGCTCTTGGAGTTGTGGCAAATTGTCTTGAGGATGTGGATACTATGCAACTAATCCAGGAGACGGGGGGTCTCAGAAAGTTACTGGCCTTTACTGAAGTTTCCACTCTAACTGAGTTTCAGAAGAATGCCGCAAAAGCTATTGCTAAAGCAGCCGCTGATCGTACGTCATTACAGAAATTTCTGTGTCTTGAGAAAAGCCTTTAGAATATATGAATGCCTAGTTAATGGTTCCTTTTTATGATTAGATGCCATTATTAAAACTTAACAATTTGATCCAAGTCTCCTAAAATAAGGAGCCTGTGATGTCATATCCTACATCTTATTAGCTCTACAATGCAGTGATATACATTTCGATAAAACTGCAAGCATATTCTGTCCTCCCAGGTTAGCACAAGATAGTTTTGCTGTCTGAGATTACCATTTTGTAGATCAGGGAGAAATGATACAATACTCAAATGCTGGATAAGATATTCTAGTACCTGATAAGGAAGATTCTTTGGGGGCAGAACTGGTTCGGTGACGTCATATCGTCACCGCTACTGGCTCGGCAGAACCGGGTGGAACCGAGTGGAACCCACCACTTATCAAACCAGTTGTCTTAGAGAACCGTCTTGCTAATGGTAAGGTGGGTGCTCTCTTCTCTTAAAGATCCAGTGTCTTTATTTCTTGGAAGCAAGTTAATTAAGTTGCTTTTATATTTGAATATTATGGAATAAACCACAGAGTCACCATGTCGAATGTTATATATGCACTGCATTTAGATAGAATATATGTAAATGACAGATATACAGAATATAAGAACGCCATCACTCTGCTAAACAAAACATTGTCAAACTAATTACTAAGTCTGCATTACTATTAATCTTCTCATTGTTCCTATCACCCATCTCCTTCCACTTATGACTGTATGACTGTGACCTTGTTGCTGGTATCCTTAAGATTTATATTGACTGTTTCCCTATGACTATCTTTAACGAATGTATCTTTTCTTTTATGTACTCGGAGAGCGTATGCACCAAGACAAATTCCTTGTGGGTCGAATTATACGTGGCCAATAATGAATTCTATTCTATTCATAGAGAAATACTCCAAATAATACAAAGACATTCCCATTCCTTCCCCTCCTCTTCCCTCCCTGCTTTCTTTTACAGCATATTCACATAATGAGCTTACTTCAGAGTGAACAAATTTAAAAGATATGGCCCATCTTGAATATATCTTAAATCAAACCACTGAGTTTTCTTACAAATCTTCTATCTCCCTGTACACAAACACACAGGCACACAGACAGTTCATATAAAATGCTGTAGCATCCACTTATTATTTATTTTTTCATAATGTTGTGCATTCATATGTTTGCTCCTTAATGAGGACATGTGGATAAAAAAAGTTCCCACAAATAAATCATTTGTTATTGAATGAAACAATCCATCCCAAGATACAGAATTGTTTCTGAATTTTCTCATAGGAAATATTTTTCCTTCACAAGACTGATTCTTTATCATCATCATTATCTAATCTGAATAAATTAAGATACGCTTATTTTCTTTTTAAGATATGGCTTGTCTCAAAATATCTTATAGATTAATGTCCCCAGGGAATTAACCTCTTCCTTTATCCTTTTGTAATGATCCATTTTGTAATTCTTTGTTTATATGATCAGTTCACTGCTCCTGAATCCACCATGGAATTCTGAAGCAAGCAGGCTGAGCGGAAGTAGCTTGCACTCAGCATGACAATGCTGTTTAAATGTCTCAGAGTGGCATCTATATTGTGATTTGTCAAGCTGCAGTTGAAGCACAGCAGTGCCATATAGCAAAATGTAATAATATAGAGAATAATGTACTTCTTATTGTCTGTAATAAGATTCTTAGTCTCTCAAGGGACTCTGATGACATAAGCTGTGACAGACTTAAGACAGTTCTTATTTCAACCATCTCTTAGTTATTAGTTATTTCTAGCACCTCTCACATTATTATTTTAATTTATGTATATTTGTTGTACATAATTTCTAATGCAGGAAACCTTCTTGTCCTGTAAATTTTATTTCTTTTTCTCTGCTGCCTCCTCTGTTGGATAGCTAAGTTGGATTGTAGATTTATTTTTAGGAACTAATCATGGTCTAATTAAAGCTGATATTAATGGGACAATATACATTTGTTATTATTTTATTTTACTAGATTATTTCTAGGAAATATCACTATCCACATATATCTTCAACCTGATACATACTTTAGTTTCAGTTTTTAACCACAAAAGTGGGGAATAAAGAAGCTAATTACATAAAAGTATTTTTTGGAGAATAGTCTCAGAATTATATCACTATATAATAAATGAATTCAAGAAAGTAGTCAATTTAACATATAACATGTCACCCTGGCTGAGTTCTGAAAGAAAAGAAAAAGCAATAAATTATTCTCCCCTTTTATAAATATATGTATTTGTGTATGTATGTGTATACAAAATATACATGCAAAATATATACCGTATTTTTCAGACTATAAGATGCTCCGGACTATAAGATGTACCTAGCTTTTGGGGAGGATCGCCACTGCCCATTGGGGCCAGAGCCGCCCATCACAGCCACCACCTATCACTGCCTCTACGTGCCCCATTTTCGGCCTCTGTGCATCCCGTTTTTGGCCTCCGTGTACCCCATTTTCAGCTTCCACACACCCAATTGTTGGCCTCCGCACATCCTGGTTTTGGCCTGTTCCAGGCGGCAGGGATCGCCGCTGCTGCCACCTATCACCGCTGCCTGGAACAGGCCAAAAATAGGATTCACAGAGGTTGAAAATGGAGCACTCAGAGGCCAAAAATGGGGCGCACGGAGGCGGCGATAGGTGGTGGTTCAGTGGTGGGATTCAATTTTTTAAACAACAGGTTCTGTGGGCGTGGCTTAGTTGGGGGTGTGGCTTGGCAATCATGTGACTGGGTGGGCGCGGCTAGCTGGTCATGTGACTGTAGGTGTGGCTAGCTGGTCATATGACTGTGTAGGCATGGCTAGCTGGTCATGTGACCGGGTGTGGGCGTGGCTATGTGCATAGGGACTACTCAGAGGGCTGAAAAAAGTCATTTCTGACTGGTCCTCGCACTTTTGACTGGTCCTCACACTTATGACTATCCTCACATTTATGCCCGTGCAGCATTCTTAACAACCGTGTCAGTCATTTCACCACTACTTCTCTTCACGGTGACAAGATAGGGCGCAAAACGTAAAATGTGAGGACAGTCGTAAGTTCAAGGACTGGTCAAAAGTGCGAGGACCAGTCAAAAATAACTTTTTCAGCCCTCTGAGTAATCCATTTACTACCGGTTCTGTGGGCGTGGCTTGTTTGGTGGGCGTGGTTTGATGGTCATGTGACTGGGTGGGCGTGGCCAACTTGACATCACTCACGTCAAGGGTTAGGGTTAGGGTGCTTGGCCTCTCCTCACCTCAAAGGCCTCAACGAGATATAATTTCCCTGTCTATTTATTTACTACTACTGAACATCTAAAATATACTATTTAATCCTATGTACATATGCCATATGTGTACATACATATTACATAGTAGAGAGTGTATATAGGCACACAAAAGGATACATTACCTTACTATATATACTGTATGTGTATGTACACACAGAGAGCTCTTTTAAAACTATACACATTCAACCTCACTTACTATATTTGGAAAAACACACCCAGAATCCACTTTCTGCCACACATTTAACTATAACTTCTATACATTTAGAACATTACACACACCTTCAGATATTCTTCCCTATCTAGCTTGCACATGACTGTTAGAGCCAGGAGAGGTCATGGATTGAGTAAAATGTGGTGAAACTCACTTAACAACACTCTTGTTTAGCAACGAAAATTTTCTGCTCAATTGTGGTCATAAGTCAAGGACTATCTCTGCCTTCCTCCGCATGGCAGCCTTGTCCTAGTAAACTCCTTTTCCTTTCTGGCAATTTTCCTCTCTGTTGGAGGCACCAAAACAATCTAGACGATATAAGGTTTCCTGCTGGAGCAGGGAGTTGGACTAGATGGCCTCCAAGGTCCCTTCCAGCCCTTGATTGCTATCCTGTTTCAAAGCATCTTCTGAAACCACGTCTAGTGCCGTGGTTTGTGGTCCTTCCTTCCTGCCTTTCTCTTCTTTCTTTCTCTTTCTTTCTTTCTTTCTCTCTCTCTCCCTTCCTTCCTTTCTTCCCTCCTTCCTTCCTTCCTTTCTTTTTCTTTCTTTTTCTGTCTTTTCTCTCTCTCTCTTCCTCCCTCCTTTCCTTTCCTTTCCTCCTTAAATGCCAGCAAAACCCACTACTTTGCTCCTAAAATGGTCTAGGGCAGAGGTCCCCAATCTTGGCAACTTTTAGACTTGTGGACTTCAACTCCCAGAAATCCTCAGCCAGCAAAGCAAAGCAAAGCTGGCTGAGGAACTCTGGGAGTTGAAGTCCACAAATCTTAAAGTTGCCAAGGTTGGAGACCCCTGCCCTAGGAAAACAATCCACGTTGCTAAAACAAACAAACAACCCACATTGCATCTGTTTTAGGGGAGGAGGTTCAATTCATTGCCCAGTTGGAAGACTGAAATGAAATGCTCCAAGCTGACAGCATTGCTTCTAATGACATTCAGCTCCAGATCAGATCGGGCTTTTTTTTTTTTTTGCATGAAAGAGGAACACAGCAAATGAAAACAAAAAGTCTCCAGCCTCCGATGTGAAGCAAATTAAAGCCTCTTTCTCTCCTTCTCTCCCCCCTCCCCCTGCTTCCCTTTTACCTTTGTTTAATGCTCTGGAAGTTTTTCTCTCCCAGGCAAGAAGCAGCAGGGGACAGAAGCAGCAGCCACTGATTTGCAGATCACATGGAGCCATTCACGTGTTCTCCGGCAAGCTGCTTTCTCCATCCTGCTCTCTTGCGTCCGGAGCCGGTGGGGAACCACGTGGCAGCCCACGTGGATCCCAGGCAGCGGAACTCAGGCTAGGGAAGGGATGGGCAACCTGTGGCCTTCAACTCCCAGAATTCCTGAGACGGCCAAGCTGTCTACCCCTGGCTAGGATAGGCTGGCGCCACATGGGTGGGAGGTGGGGCGGGTGAGGGGTGGACGAGCCAGCAATTTAACAAACGGTTCGGTGTGCTGCGGGGCCAATAAATTACAAAAAAACATCAAACCGTTTGTTA